CATGAAGTTGATGTGCAAAATTCTTATGGAGCTCCCTTTCTACATCACTTTTATGCTATAACAGAAATGTCTTTCTCATCAAAAGTATCTTTTGCCCCCTAAAAGAGATCAGAGTTAAAGTCAGATGTAATCAATAAAAATCAGAGTGTTCTACACCTCTTGCCATCCCATAAAATCAGTGATTGGAGCAAGGATCTGAAAGCCTTGGATCCTGCACTGCAGAGACTTGTCCAGTCCATCTCTATTTTTAAGGGTGACCTCCTCCTTTTGTAACTGTGGTTTGAGTTTCAGTCATCAGAGCCATCAGTTTAATTCCCTGGAATCCTTGTGTCCCAGATGGGTTCTCTGTTCCCTTTCCTTTGGTTTTGCCCACTCCAGGTCATACCAAAGCTTGACAACACTGGATCTTTTTAGGGCTGGCTCCCTAAAATATCCCAAGGGAAACTGGGAGACTTCAGTTCTGTTCCTGAGCTGTCACTCCACACTCTGGATCCTCATTCCCTGTCTCTGGCAGTGAGGAGCTGGATTTCCAAGATATTTCATAAATCTTTAATTCAAACAAACAAACCACAACCCCCCAGGGTTCCAGGTGCAGGTGAGGTGTGTTACAGCATGTTTTTGATGCTAAATTCCACCAGGTTTCCCTGTTTCCATTAAATCTCTGGAGTCTGGTCCTGCTCCTGTGTTGTGGGTAGTTTGTGAGTGTCCTGCTTTTGAACTTTAAGAGGCTGAGGAGAATCCTGATATGGATCAGTTCCTGCTGGAATACAGTTCCTGTTTATTTGTGTTTGGTGACCAAACTATCTGAAGCTGGAGATCTGATGGAATTGTGCAGGTCCTGGGGAGGTGTTTGTGTCCTTCCCTCCTCTTGGCTCATGCCTCCACTTTTTCCATCTGTTCTTCATCCTGAAGTGTGGGAACAGCTCCTTATCATGGCAGGACTGGAGCCAAAGCTGGGAGTCGGGGCAGGGGCTGCTCCAGGACAGCACTAAAATGCTTTAAACTCTAAAGATCTCCTTGCACTGGGTGATTTTAAGTCTGGGTGTAGCTTAAAGGGATATTTTTAGTTAAAAATCCTGTTTGGAAATTAATCCTGTGTCATGTTTTTATCACTTAGAGGAGAAAAAAAAAAAGTAATTAAATGCAGCTTTGGCAGAGGATCAAACTGGGCACGTGAGGTGGAAACTGGGGGCTGGAGATAAGGGCTGGGGAGCAGAAAGGCTGTCCAGGAGATAATGGGCATGGAAGGAGTTGGAGGGACAGCCTGAAGCTTTTCCTCAGGAGATATCCCAGGAAAGGTTGTGGTGTCCTGGAGAGATGAGGGTGTGGGGAGTGCCAGGGATTGAGAGGAGGGAGGATGAGGTGCTGTTAAGTCTAAATAAACATACCTGGGAAGTGACTGTTCATGTTAATAGAGTGGCTTTCAGTGGAAGGGCAAAGAGGGAAATTAGATGGAGGGAGGAAATAATCCATGGGAAGTATTAATTTGGAGTTTGGACCTCAGGCCACAGCTGTTCATCCGTTGTGCTCCTGAAAAACTCCTGGTTTGCTCCTCTTTTGGCCTCAACTAGAAATATTTAATCCTTGTCCAAATTAGAAAATGCAGAAAATTAAGAAAGTTGAGCAATAGTTTCCCTGCAAATCGAACTTTGGCAATGCCAGTGGGGTTCTGTAGGTTTTTGGGAGAGGAGAAGGGGGGAAACCAACAGGAACACAAAAAGTCAGTGGGAATCTTTGTTCCTCAGCGGAGAAAAGGGATGTGGGAACATGATTTGTGGAGAGGGAAGGCAAAGGTGCAACAGTGGGTGACTAAAGGAGGTGGAGCTGGCCTGAATTTAGAGGATAATGTGGATTTTCAAGCATCTGGGACGAGGAGGTGGAAAAGCAGGATGGGAGCTGGCAGCAGAATAAATTTGAGGGGTGAGGAGGGGGAATCCAGTGGGACGTGAGGAGTTCAGTGAGTAGGACTGTGCCAGGCTTTGGAAGATGAAAGAGGGAAAATCAAAAATAAATTCTTTTAATATCAGGTGTTGGAAGTGGAAATAGAGATAAATAAAACATAGGTGAGTTTATAGTTCCTGGCAGAGAATAAACATAGGCTGGAGTGGGAGATGGCTGGGAAGGATGGAGTATTTCTGGAAAAGACAAGGAAAAAGTAATACAGACATTGAGAGTGAGTTCATTAGGAACTGGAGATTGTCCACTTGGGTCCTGTGAAAATAAAGGTTTTTGCATAAAGAACCACGTGGAACGATTGAAAAATGGGGTTTGAAAGCTTTCAGAGCCTTTGGATGTGGCTCGGAATGGACCCCAGCGAGTCACCCTGTGGAATGTGTTTTCCAGGGATCCCTTTGCTGCCCACCATGAGCACATGAGGCAGATGATGAGGAGCTTCTCGGAGCCCTTCGGGAGGGAGCCGTTCCCGAGCCTGCCCGAGGGCAGGGACAGAGGGGAGCGAGCGCTGGAGCGGAGGGCGCGCCCGGACTCCCGGCTGGCACCGCGCGGGACCCGCAGGGTACGTGTCCCACTGCCCGGGGAACGTGTCCCACTGCCCGGGGAATGGGCATTTCCTGGGAAACACGGCCCGGGGAACCTTGGTGCCGCTGTTTCACCACCCAGTGCAATGGGAATAACTCCTCTCTTGGCTCATCCCTGCCAGGCTGAGCTCAGCTCTGGGTGTTCCCTGCTCAGTCACACACGTTATTCCACGGACAAACCAAACACTTCATGCTTGGTTTAGTCAAGATTATGTAGTAAATGTTTCTGCTACGTAAAGGCATTAAAAAATGTCCAAGGACAGAGACTTCCCTGAACACCTATTCCCTTTTTATGTTCACTTTACTTAAGAGGGTACCTGGATATGGCTCTTGCCATCCCTGGAAGTGTCCAAGGCCAGGTTGGAGCAACTTGGTCTAGGGGAAGGTGTCCCTATCCATGACATGATCTTTTAAGGTCCCTTCCAACCCAACCCATTCCCTGGTATCTTTATGCCTTCCCTGTGCACTTTAGTGTCCTGCCTGTGGTTATTTATGTTCGGCACACCCCTGTGTTTCACCCCCTGAGTAGAGATTTTAAACACAGTTTCATCTTTGCAGCAGTGAATAAAAGCTTCACGCTCTGTATTTGAGCTGATTCTTAATGTTTGCCCTGGATACAAGCCTGTAACAATTAAAGATCAGGGAAATTGATACAAAATTTAGTATTTCTGGTTGTTGCCAACTGAGACTTGGACCTTGGCAGTGATCTGTGTTTGAAATAAAGTATCTTTTCAACTCTGGGCACGCAGGACAGTTCTCTGCTGCCCTGCTGGAGCTCAGCCTTATCCCAGTGCTGTATCTAGAGAGGAGATACACTGGGAGGTTGTTCCTTTCCCTGTACATATTTAGCAGCTGCAAATCTCCTACTGAATGGAGTTTAAAAACCGTTGGAAGACAAAGGCACATGAGGAGGGCTCGTGGCTCCGGGCCAGGTTTGGGTGGTTGGTCCAACCCAGATAGTCTGAGCTCAGTAAAGCAGAGCTCAAACCCAGGGTGTCACCTGCACGTCCAGAGAGGAGCTGTGAGATTCCTTCCCCTCCTCATCCACTGCCAGTCCCTTCAAATATAGAAGCTGCTGGATCTAATTAGGGCAGAGCTTTGCTCTGCTGATCCTTAGGCTTTGGATCAGCAGGTGCCTAAACCTGGATTTTTTCCTTTAGTAAAGGAAATGTCAAACTGCCTTTAAAGCTTAGGGGGTTGTGTCCCTGCTCCTGCAGGGAGGGGTCAGTGTGAGCCCCAGCAAACCTTTCCTTTAGTTGCAGCAGGAAGTTAAAGGTCCAGGAGCACTGTGAGAGTTTGAGAAGCACAAAGGAATTCCACACCTGCCAAAATCTTTCCAGGATCTTTTGATGTCCCTCATGTTTCACCAAAGACTTGGCAGGTGTGACACGAGACTCAGCACTGATGAGTCTCATCATTTGCTCCACCAGTGATTTAAACACTCAAAATTAGATTTTTATGTAGGAAAAGGCTGAACCCTTACTGCCATGTAAAATACACTTGTTTCAAATTACCCACGCTGATTACTAGTGTCGTAATTGTATGTTTAATTAAACTGTAGCAGGCCTAAAACTGCTTTAAAAGAAACTAAATTAGTTGCAAAACTGGCCATATGTGTTGCTAAAGCATTCAAATTTGAAACCAGCAGGTTTGCAGTGTC